CTCACAACAACTAAACGATATACAACACACACCTCCCATTACAAGCTGCTACACTCACAACAACTAAACGATATACAACACACACCTCCCATTACAAGCTGCTACACTCACAACAACTAAACGATATACAACACACACCTCCCATTACAAGCTGCTACACTCACAACAACTAAACGATATATACAACACACACCTCCCATTACAAGCATTACACTACACTCACAACAACTAAACGATATACAACACACACCTCCCATTACAAGCTGCTACACTCACAACAACTAAACGATATACAACACACACCTCCCATTACAAGCTGCTACACTCACAACAACTAAACGATATACAACACACACCTCCCATTACAAGCTGCTACACTCACAACAACTAAACGATATACAACATACACCTCCCATTACAAGCTACACTCACAACAACTAAACGATATACAACATACACCTCCCATTACAAGCTACACTCACAACAACTAAACGATATACAACATACACCTCCCATTACAAGCTGCTACACTCACAACAACACAACAACTAAACGATATACAACACACACCTCCCATTACAAGCTACACTCACAACAACTAAACGATATACAACACACACCTCCCATTACAAGCTACACTCACAACAACTAAACGATATACAACATACACCTCCCATTACAAACTGCTACACTCACAACAACTAAACGATATACAACACACACCTCCCAGCTGCTACACAAAGCTGCTACACTCACAACAACTAAACGACTAATACGACATACCACACACCTCCCATTACAAGCTGCTACACTCACAACAACTAAACGATTTACAACACACACCTCCCATTACAAGCTACACCCACAACAACTAAACGATATACAACACACACCTCCCATTACAAGCTACACTCACAACAACTAAACGATTTGCAACACACACCTCCCATTACAAGCTGCTACACTCACAACAACTAAACGATCTACAACATACACCTCTCATTACAAGCTACACTCACAACAACTAAACGATTTACAACATACACCTCTCATTACAAGCTACATTCACGACAACTAAACGATATACAACATACACCTCTCATTACAAGCTACATTCACGACAACTAAACGATTTACAACATACACCTCTCATTACAAGCTACACTCACAACAACTAAACGATTTACAACATACACCTCTCATTACAAGCTACACTCACAACAACTAAACGATATACAACATACACCTCTCATTACAAGCTACATTCACGACAACTAAACGATATACAACATACACCTCTCATTACAAGCTACATTCACGACAACTAAACGATATACAACATACACCTCTCATTACAAACTACATTCACGACAACTAAACGATATACAACATACACCTCTCATTACAAGCTACATTCACGACAAACCCCTACCCATCACAGACACCAACCTAGATAACATCCTCCATCAGCTAACAAAAGACACCAACAAATCCACCATAATAAACATCACAAACAACTACATCAACAACAGCTACCCCACCCACACTCATATAAACACAGATGCCTCAATCAACCAAAACAAAACCACTGGTATAGGCATTCATGTCCAACAAAAAAACCCTATAACAACTAACCTCCACTATACAAACCACACCACAATAAATACTGCAGAACTCACAGCTACTCTCACTGCACTGCACTTAATCCCCACTCTCCTCCCCCAGACTAACTTCCTCATTCTCTCCGACTCACTCAACTCCATTAGGCAAATACAAAGCAAGCACTCCAAATCTCGTCCAGACCTTATCCACAATATAATTATCCAAACCGACTCACTTAAATGATCAGACCAAAATATAACATTTACCTGGATTCCCAGCCATTCAAACATACCTGGAAATGACACAGCTGATACAGCAGCAAAACTAGCAACAACCCACACATCACCAAATATAAACTTTCACACATCCAAGACAGAAATTAAGCAACTCATCAAATCAAACATACTACATACCAACTTCCATCACAACATCAACACAAACAAATCAACATGGGTCACACCAATAATAAAATCACCATTAAGCAAAATCCCTGTATACTCTAACATTAAAAACATTGACACGGCTATAAACGACTCATCACAGGCATCACAAACCTAAACCACACACTTTATAAACAAAATAGACATACAGATGGCTTATGTACACACTGCAATACTCAAGACGACATAAACCAAATACTCATCCACTGCAAACTACAACACGCAAATATCAAGCAACTACACGACAGCATTCCCCCTAAATATCACAACAATATCCCACTTCTCCTTAATCCACCCCCCACCCCCACCCCCACTCCCCCATCATTTTCAACGCCATAGCAGCTTACCTTCAAAACTAAAACGTATTACAAAGGATCTAGAACCTCTCATATAAACTACATACACCTCTCTCACGTTCAACCTACTGTTCATTTCTGGTGTCCCCCGCCGTGATATTGCTGGAATATTGCCAAAAGCGGCGTAAAACCAAACTCACTCACTCACTCACTCGTTCAACCTACTGTTACATTTAGACCAAGCGTCCAACCCTCAGTTATCCATTCTATGTCCCAAGTATAACCAATAAGCCCACACTTTCAGACACGCCGCTCAAACTCAATTACCCATACTCTGCACACGGCACGCTACCCCTTCCCTCTCGCTAATGTAAACAACCTGACGCAAGCTCTCACTGACAAAGTCAAGGCCACTCAACACAGCCAGCTTACTCCCAGCGCTCGCCTCTCAGCTGCTGTCCCCTGCTACACTGCCTTCTACACTCCCACCTTAGGATTACTGCTTTAGATTTCGGTAACTTCAAATCATATATATTATTGTAGATCTTCAGCTACAGGCGTACGTTCATTTGTGTAGTTATTGTTCAATGTATTGCGAAATTGTTATAATGTTTAGGAAGGGTTGAACCCCGGAAACAGCTGTACACTTACACCTATGTCAAACTATTATGTATATTCAGGCTAAAAGACCAGTGCTTGTATTATTGTTATAATGTTTAGGAGTACGGTAGTGCGTAAATTGCACTACCGTAAAACATCTACGAAACATCTACGATACGTGTACTAGTTAATGTTTCATTATTTTAAGCTGATGTTACCAATAGGAATCTAATGTGATAGCGTGTTTATTTGTATCGTTGTGTGCCGTTCTCTGAACTTAAAAATATGTTCCTGTAAGGTTCTACCTGTACATAAAAATATAATGCCCAACATACGCTGATGTTTTGATAAGTATAGTGTAATATATATGAGTACAATATGTTCGTATCAGTTATCTGTAATACTGTACCTTGTATTTGATGTGTTCATATATATGTATACATATGATGGAATTGAAATATTTTATAAATGTAATGTTCAAAACATGTTGATGTTCTGCGAAGCTTAATAATTATGAAGATGAAAATAATATGTTCACGTCAGTCTAATGTAATACTGTATGATTACTTTGATATGTTCATATATTGAATTGAATTGAAATGTTTTATTGAATTCACTCTGCATCTGAATAAACCTTGGAACGCTAGCAACTCTAATGTCATCATTATCCTGAATTCATATATTTTATTTTAAGGCCAAAATTACCGTGAGACAGCACTTTCTGAGTTCCTTTATGTTAACCTTCTAAGGTAAATATTGTATGCTATGCGGCGATTACCGCCGATATCATTTATGGCTTCGTTTAACTCATGTCATGAGTTATCGCCCCTGATCTTTGTAAATTTCAACCGCTCAGTGATCATTATATTTCTGTAATGTTTCAATGCACAGATAATATTGTCGGCGCTCATGCATTCAATCTGTATTAACACATATACTGTTAACATACTGAATATAACAGACCCACAAAAAGATAACGGTGTGACTTATTCCTGGGTCAGTGAGTGAGTCAGTGATTGTAGTTATGCAGTCACCCAGGTATATCACAGGAGCCTGAAGATTGTAATCTTAACACTATCACAGCTATAAAACTGCAACAATAAAACTTGAATCGTGACCCTGCGCATTCAGAGCGATTTCAAAACACAATCACTCATTCGACATCACTCGTCCCTTTCCGTAACATGCAAACTGTCCCTGAATGACGAGTTGATCACGAATGAACCACGTCAACCCTGTACGGTATATCTCTTCCTGTGCTCCCTCCTGAGAGGGTACGTAAGTCCCAAAACATTTCAAGTAAATTTAAGTCTAACAGGTTTTTAATCGTAGTATTTTTGTGATTTTAATGTATGGCTAAATCTCAGTATAAACGCCAATGGCTGAAGGGATGGTGTAAATCCAGCTAGGGTCCATGCAGGTAGCAAAGGTACTGTAAGTCCCCATGGTCCCTAGTATGGTGATCGACCTTCAGTTGTTGGCGATCTATAGCCTGTTTTTATGTTGTATTGTCCTAATAGTGCTATTAGTTTTAACCTTCCACACTAGTTTTAAATCTAATTGTGATATTCTAGTTGTTTTACTGTCCTTCAATGACAGGTTTTATAATATGCACATATTCCATTTCAATGTAAAATGTTCTCGTCACGATATGGCTGAAATATTGCCGATGTGACGTTAAATATTAACTCACTCACTCTCTCACTTCATGTGCTCAGTTTCCCTCTACACCGGTTACCTAGGGTCTATCTCGCCTGGTGCTCAGTTTCCCTCTACACCGGTTACCTGGCTGTCTCAGGTAAGTGTGTTGTCATAGGGGCCTCGTCTATTCCAGGTGTAACGCTACACACCTGCCCTACTGTGCACAGGTAACACCACAATGGTTCATCTAACTGTTAGGTCATCTCCAGGCACATTCTCAAATCCGGGCACCTAATATGCTGTAATATTTAGACTGAGCATGGTGTATGGAGTGTCTACTTTCATTACTTCCTTGATCGGCCTCGTGACTTCAATACTGAGATCTGTCTCGATGTATGTGGATGTATGTATATAATGTGTGTGGGATGTGGGGGGTCAGGACATGATTAGACCCCCGTGGAAACAATACTTCCAGAACTGCAGCGGTAAGTTTCTGCTATATCTCCCAAACTGTCCTCTTTTGGTTTATGACATGCATTTTGGTTGCTTGATACCGGCAGTGCTCTGTTAAAATATAGAAGAATACTGATCGAATCTTTTCTCATCTCAGGTCAAGGATAGGTGGGTACTCATATGAATAGCGCCTAGGTTTCGGAAAGGTGGGTAGTCATATGAATAGTGCCTAGGTATCGGAAAGGTGGGTAGTAATATGAATAGCGCCTAGGTATCGGAAAGGTGGGTAGTCATATGAATAGCGCCTAGGTATCGGAAAGGTGGGTAGTCATATGAATAGCGCCTAGGTATCGGAAAGGTGGGTAGTCATAAAAAATATTCTAAAATATAGAAGAATACTGATCGAATCTTTTCTCATCTCAGGTCAAGGATAGGTGGGTACTCATATGAATAGCGCCTAGGTTTCGGAAAGGTGGGTAGTCATATGAATAGTGCCTAGGTATCGGAAAGGTGGGTAGTAATATGAATAGCGCCTAGGTATCGGAAAGGTGGGTAGTCATATGAATAGCGCCTTGGTATCGGAAAGGTGGGTAGTCATATGAATAGCGCCTATGTATCGGAAAGGTGGATAGTCATATGAATAGTGCCTATGTATCGGAAAAATGGATAGTCATATGAATAGCGCTTATGCATCGGAAAGGTGGGTAGTCATATCGGATCGGAAAGGTGGGTAGTCATATGAATAGTGCCTATGTATCAGAAAGGTGGATAGTCATATGAATAGCGCCTAGGTTTCGGAAAGGTAGGTAGTCATATGAATAGTGCCTAGGTATCGGAAAGGTGGGTAGTCATATGAATAGCGCCTAGGTATCGGAAAGGTGGGTAGTCATATGAATAGTGCCTAGGTATCGGAAAGGTGGGTAGTCATATGAATAGTGCCTAGGTATCGGAAAGGTGGGTAGTCATATGAATTGTGCCTAGGTATCGGAAAGGTGGGTAGTCATATGAATATTGCCTAAGTATCGGAAAGGTGGGTAGTCATATGAATAGCGCCTAGGTATCGGAAAGGTGGGTAATCATATGAATTGTGCCTAGGTATCGGAAAGGTGGGTAGTCATATGAATAGCGCCTAGGTTTCGGAAAGGTAGGTAGTCATATGAATAGCGCCTAGGTTTCGGAAAGGTAGGTAGTCATATGAATAGCGCCTATGTATCGGAAAGGTGGGTAATCATATGAATAGTGCCTAGGTATCGGAAAGGTGGGTAGTCATATGAATAGTGCCTAGGTATCGGAAAGGTGGGTAGTCATATGAATAGCACCTAGGTATCGGAAAGGTTGGTAGTCATATGAATAGCGCCTATGTATCGGAAAGGTGGGTAGTCATATGAATAGTGCCTATGCATCGGAAAGGTGGGTAGTCATATGAATAGTGCCTAGATATCGAAAGGTGGGTAGTCATATGAATAGCACCTTTCTTTGCCCCGCGTTTGGGTTCGAATCTAAATGTCATGGAAACATGAATACTTTTATGTCGAGAGGGCTTTCTCCACCCTTTCACTTTGGCGTGAATTGTATCTTCTATATTGCAGGTATCCTGTACGTGGTTGACACTAACGACAGGGAGAGGTTTGTCGAGTCACGGGAGGAACTGAAGAACGTCATCGACAGCGACGAGATGAGATTTGTTCCTGTCGTCGTCCAGGCTAACCAGCAAGACTTGCCAGGTGGGGACATGGTCGACACAGAAAATGATGGTGTATGCCCTTGTATTTAAATTAGCAACATAAACAGTCTCAGGCTCAGGAATGTTCTAATGGCGTTCATTGTGGAACTGTGTAGTGTGATTTATGATAGTGATGATGCTGAAGATGACGGTAGTGATGCTGCTGCTGCTGCTGATAGCTATAATGGTAGTGATGATGATTATTATGGATTGTGATGATCAATCTCATTAGCAAATTCAAATTATATAGATGGCCATCCTACTAGGCACATGGCACTAGGCACATGGCTGAAAGTATTTTGTGATCACATGATTAGGATAATATTTCAAAATATTTTCGCCAGTTTATTTCCCAATTTTAAAAACAAACAACACACTTTGTACCTATCTTCAGCTGGCGTTGTGATGGATGAAGCCCTGAATAAGTCTTATAACCGTGATACGGTGGCATCCGAGGGCGTGGCAACGGCATTGTATGTCGACCCCATCTGCACCATTACAATGGCTCTTTCTCTCTCTTCAGCTGTTAATCGTGGCATATGTCTCGTACTTGTGTATCATATCATGCATTCTAGGCTCTCTTCATATCCTATAGAATCATTCTACATATGAAGTGGATGCAAATACTGCTTGCATATTGCTGCGCTTTGGCGATTGATATTGCTATGTGTAAACAGAGAATGGATAAATGTTACTTTGCAAGCAAAAAGATGACGGACCGGAAGTGGTACATCCAGGGGACATGCGCTACGACCGGGCAGGGTCTGTTCGAGGGTCTGCAGGAAATGTCTCGACTGGTGAAAGATTTCAAACAGAGCAGGAGCCGGTGAATCTTTCCAGACATAAATAACCATACACTTGTATCTGTGATAATGTCCAGAAGCTCAGGGATGACCAACTGAAGGGTATCTGTGTTGAAACCTGAATGGACTGATGTGACCTCCCACAATTATATCTAATCACGTGTTAATTTGTTCAATACATGATATGCAAGTTGAAATGCTGTCATATGACTTTGACAAGGTTTGTCAAGTCTGTATTGTGGCGAGGAAGCCAAAAGGAGGACCCCACTGTTGCGACACGTTGCCGTCAGAACAAAGACTCCCACCCCGATGTTACTGATTCAATCTTATGCCCAGTCCGTCTCCATGGTTACCGATCCTTACCGTTATGTCACGTGATGACTCGAGATCTGTAGCGCTATCAGTCTTTCGTTACTGTTATACGTATGTAGCAATTTGTTATATAATTCATCGTGTAAATACTCATATGATTCCAACATTCCTTGTTTTGTCTTTTACCTGAACACTTTGTATGGTGTTTGTGTTTTCAATACGTGTGTGAACGTTCATGTTTTATTTACCTGTTGTTTTGTACTTAAACATGTAATTGTAATTGTTGTTGCAATACAAGTTTAAAAAAAAGTAATTTTTCACAAAGTTATTTGTCCATAACTGACATCAAGGTACAGAAACGGTACTTAACCACATTGTGCAATGCTGAGCATCGATCCCCGGATGCACATTTCGGACAGTTGCGGCGTACAACAATATTTACTCGTTCCTCCTTTTGATCATCGGATCTTGCATCGTGAACTCATCAGTGGTGGACGTTAAAACGTTTTAAAATTAATATCACATTTATTATCTCATTACACCCAAAACTATCTATTTGATGAACATTTCCTTCCAGATTGTTTCCCATATCCGTTTAATACAAGTCCGACCGAGGTTCCTTTGATGGACTCATGGGTTCAATGCAGCAATCGCTATTGTACGCATTCTTCCCGGCCCTGAAGAATTACTGCGTCTTATCCTCTCATTCCAACAGAACGGGCGTTTCAAATTTTGTTATTTCCTTCCAAAGTAGCAAGCCCCTTGGCATATGTAATATAGCGACCATTCATATTGCACTAGGATACTTTTGACCTACAGGACTTGGATAATTAAGATAGAAAAAAAGTCAAATGTTTAGAAGGTATAGTGACAGTTATCAAATGTGTAAATATGCAATTAGTCTTCGTTCATTTCATTTCTTCTATTTCCTTGTCATGCAACAACACTAAATGTTATGGTTAAGCTAAAATGTCAAAAAAACATAGCTGCTTTTAGATATTTTAATACATTTTGAGCATGAAGGATCATTTGAACGCAGCTGATATTTCAAAAAGATGATTATAAAATCAGAAGAACCAATTGGTAAATCATTACAATCCTCCAGTGACTTTTCATGAAATGACGACGGCCTGTAAGTAGCAGACACTGCAGTGATCGATATTGTGAGCACTGACCCACGCCGTCGGATTACGATGACACGCTATGAACCAGTTCACCGAGTCTGACTACCGTTTGGTTGCCTGTTCAGTCAAACATACGTTGCTAGGGATTTAATCGAATCAGGGTCCCCCATGTAGGTGTCCTTACCCACACCACATTAGTTTTTTTGTTTTGTCTTACCAATTACATATATATGGATCTCAAAACCCTACACATGATGCCTTGACGTGTCCAAAGGCTATATGAATCTTCGTTGCATGTGGATTATGTCAAGACACGTTGATAAGGTAAGCTGCGTGCATTGACCAAAATCGCAAAACTTTGATCGAACTGATTAAGGGAAACACAACGTATACTCATAGACATTTATGATACACACAATGTGACGTTTCCTTAAATAGTTCCACATGCTGGGAGATGGAGATAACTGACAACATTGAAGCAAATACATGTTGTAGAGAATCCAATTCCGATTGTGCACAACCTGAAACAAGTGATGATATGGCGCAACGATCTATTGTAAGTGAATCCGGGTCACTGGGTCACCAGGCAGTTCCTGTATGTGTTGATGATAAGACATTATCCTGGAAGACAAAACGTCGACATACGTGACGACATAGGGTGTCAGTGTGTTGTCCTTGATCTACTGTTCAGTGACCTTCACACAACATGGAGTGAGGTTTACAGTCATAGAGATGTCCCCGATCCACGCAATATTCGTTGACATTGGCTTGGCGTTTCTTCGACGTTTTCAAAGACGTCACGTCAACGTAATGGAGACTTATCTGAACCCCCGAAGCCGATGATGCTCCAGTTTAGATATGTGTACGGTACTACAGGGAATTGTCACGCCAAAGAAACTGGCATCAAGGTATAGACTGTGACTGATGGGTCTTAGCGCTTTATACAAGGAAAGGAGTGTAGCGAGGTCAACACATCAAGTTCGTTTCAGGACGAATTCCACAATGATCACTGTATATACCCCTATAAAGTCATAAAGTCATACAGTCTATATAGTCAAACTAGAAACTTCACAATCGTATAATAAATAATATATAAAAGAAAGGACACAAGAATGTGGTATAGAGGTTATCATTTACTTGTTAAGGTCGATAGGATGAACTAAGAATATCACAATGCCCAAAATCGGTTCCATATGGTTACACAATTTATCAATAAAAGGCGTAAACAAAGTGTCAAGTCACAAGAAATTAAATCTGATGTTTCAAACATTCAGTAGCGTGTATGGCCACCATGTGTGTTCACAACTGCCAAGCGACGCCTCCTCATGGACAGTCTATTGTGTGTAAACACATTATTGGGAAGTCGGCGCCATTGTTCCTGCAAAGCAGCACCAAGATCCTGCAAATTCCGGGGTTGGTTCCTGACAGGGCGCATACCGGTACCAAGAGCATCCCAGATGTGGTCGATTGGATTGAGATCAGGTGGCCTTGACGGCCAGTTAAGAACATTGATTCCTGCGTTCTGCAGGTTATTCCTGGTCAAGATGGCTGCATGTGGTCTGGCATTGTTATGTTGAAAGTGCAGACCTGGACCATGTGCTGCCATGAATGGAATAAATTCGGGGGTTAGCATGCCTGGTCGCGGTAACCTGCAGCATTAAGGTTCCCACGGATAACCAGAAGTCGGGAACGGGCAATCCCACAGAAAGTACCCCAAACCATGATACTTCCGACCCCAAATCTGTCAACTTCCTGTACACAACACTGAGCATAACGTTCACGGCGTCGCCTCCCCACTCTCATCCTACCATCAGCGAATCTGAGGGTAAATCTTGATTCATCACTGAAGACAACTCGATTCCAGTTTCTGTGAGTCGATCGGAGGTGTCGTCGGGCCCACAGCAAACGCTGACGTCAATGTCAATGGTCGTCAAACACGAAGGTGTGCAGCTCGCAGCCGGTTTCGGATGGTTTGTGCCGACAGTCGACCCCTAAACAGCTCATTTCTGGTACCTGTTTCCGTCAAAAAACGATTACGGAGGTCACGTGACACAGTTTGACGGTCCTCCGCCTGTGACGTCATACGTGGCCGGCCTGGCCTGAGGTGATCAGTGGTGCCGTTATTGCAATGAAACGTTTGACAAATTGTTTTATTGTAGTGTATGTCAACTAATGCCTGGCTGAAATCAAGGGTAAGGACAATTTGTATTTACATTGGACTTGCCAGTGAGTCAGGGTATGCGTCAGTTACCATGATACAGTCCATGATGAGTGATGAAGGAAATAGAGAATCTCACCCAAGTGTCTTCTGATATCAATTATATCAACACGAGTTGATAAAGTTACAAATTTCCGAGGCTTGCAGGACCAACAGCATGAACATCAATCTACGTAATTGGCGCACGATGACATGTGTCAATCCTGTCAGCGAGCCTGACCACCCGATCCCGTTAGTCGTTACAGATGTAGAGCAGGTAGACTACAGATGTAGAGCAGGTAGACTACAGGTGTAGAGCAGGTAGACTAAAGATGTAGATGAGGTAGACTGCAGATGTAGACCACAGATGTAGAGCAGGTAGACAACATATGTAGAGCAGGTAGACTACAGATGTAGAGCAGGTAGACTACAGATGTAGAGCAGGTAGAATACAGATGTAGAGCAGGTAGACTACAGATGTAGAGCAGGTAGACCACAGATGTAGAGCAGGTAGAATACAGATGTAGAGCAGGTAGACTACAGATGTAGAGCAGGTAGAATACAGATGTAGAGCAGGTAGACTACAGGTGTAGAGCAGGTAAACTAAAGATGTAGAGCAGGTAGACTACAGATGTAGACAACAGATGTAGAACAGGTAGACTACAGATGTAGAGCAGGTAGAGTGCAGATGTAGAGCAGGTAGAATACAGATGTAGACTACAGATGTAGAGCAGGTAGACTACAGATGTAGAGCAGGTAGACTACAGATGTAGAGCAGGTAGACAACAGATGTAGAGCAGGTAGACTACAGTTGTAGAGCAGGTAGACCACAGAAGTTGAGCAGGTAGACAACATATGTAGAGCAGGTAGACTACAGATGTAGAGCAGGTAGACCACAGATGTAGAACAGGTAGACTACAGATGTAGATACCCCCACATGAGAGAGTTGTATGTACGGTCAAATGACATACGTTTGAGCTGCTCTCTGTTCAACGCGACTAACACATGTTACTGAATTGATTTGACAACTGAGTGGTGTAAGGGAGATAAATCGTGATGAGGTATTTATATATAGCAATAACAGCGAACGCCTGACTGACTGGCTGAGTTTGGTTTTATGCCGCTTTTAGCAATATTCCAGCAATATCACGGTGGGGGACACCAGAAATGGGCTTCACACATTGTACCAATGTGGGGATTCGAACCAGGGTCTTCGGCGTGACGAGCCAAAGCTTTAACCACTGGACTACCCCACCGCCCCGCGACCGCCTGGATAGTGTATCACCACTTGAGCTGTTCTCATGTGTTGTAAATAGACATACGATGGGCACATTAAAAAGCGATCGACAGCAGTTCGAGTACTGAGTCCCATGTCAATCGCTCATCGCAATGTGAGTGAGTGAGTTTAGTTTTACGCCGCACTCAGCAATATTCCAGCTATATGGCGGCGGTCTGTAAATATTCGACTCTGGACCAGACAATCCAGTGATTAACAGCATGAGCATCGATCTGCGCAATTAGGAGCCGATGACATGTGTCAACCAGGTTAGCCTGACCATCCGATCCCGTAAGTCGCCTCTTACGACAAGCATGGGTTACTGAAGATCAATATTCTAAGCCGGACCTTCACGGGTCTGTTCAGCAATGTGCTTTACCGTGTGGCCCTTGAGGACCAAAAACCATATGAATACTCTGTACTCCAGCTTATCCATTTCTGCAGTTTCAATAGAGGTACATGTGGTTAGATGTCACGTAACCGGAAACTAGCGACATGTGCATGTCAATATTACGTTTATGTGACTGTTACCTGCAGCATTAAGGTTCCCACGGATAACCAGAAGTCGGGAACGGGCAATCCCACAGAAAGTACCCCAAACCATGATACTTCTGACCCCAAATCTGTCAACTTCCTGTACACAACACTGAGCATACCGTTCACGGCGTCGCCTCAACACTCTCATCCTACCATCAGCGAATCTGAGGGTAAATCTTGATTCATCACTGAAGGCAACTCGATTCCAGTTTCTGTGAGTCCATCGGAGGTGTCGTCGGGCTCACAGCAAACACTGACGTCAATGTCATGGCGTAAAAATGAATCCGCGATGTGGTCGTCAAACACGAAGGTGTGCAGCTCGCAGCCGGTTTCGGATGGTTTGTGCCGACAGTGGACCCCTAAACAGCTCATTTCTGGTTCCTGTAGCAGTCAAAAAACGGTTACGGAGATCACGTGACACAGTTTGACGGTCCTCCGCCTGTGACGTCATACGTGGCCGGCCTGGCCTGAGGCGATGAGTGGTGCAAGTTTGTTGCAGTCGAGTCTGTAAATCATAAACAGTCCGACGGCTACACCCCATTGTCCTTGCAACGTCACTTACTGACGTTCCCGCATCCAGCATGCCAACGGCACGTTGACGCTGCACATTTGAGAGGCGCGGCATTAAGATTAGCTGTTTTATGTTAGTGCTTTAAAGTGTGTTTTTTCAACTTTGTACAGTTGATGGGGAACATGTGCGATCGAATGCACGTGCAATAAGATCACGTGACCAGTGGCACATTAAAACACGTTTTAGCTCTATTGTTGGGATGCACCATGTTTGGATTGATTTCAATGTGCTGTGGTGACTTTTTTCTTGAGTCGATACTTGGGGATTAATATTATGACACCAGAGAACTGTCTACTATAACAATTCATATTTTTATTTACAAACATAAATTGTGAAGTTTCTATTTTGACTCAGAATATATAGTTACGTATTTCAAACCAATAGATTTACCTACGAAATGAGACATAGATCACCAAAATCGAAGCCGTTCTTTGGGAGCTTGGATCTTAGAAAGATCAAAATATCGATTCCAAGCCAAGATCCTTGCTCAGAATTTGTACCGCTAACCTACCTGTTTTCTTGTTTACTGCATCGTGTACACAAACGACACGCGCCCAAACACGCTGAATCGAGAACTTGGTTTTAGCATTTCTATTACATAATTCCTGACTTTGTTTAAGAGAATATCTAACTTTACACCACCTTTATAGACCGATTCACTGTCAAAGAGCAATCAGAGCATATTGTTTTGTGTATACACCAATCACGTGGTTAGCTTCTTGCAAGTAAATCCGCCACAGTGAGCTATTTATAGCACTCCACGTGTTCAGATATTAACACGGCGTTAGTGTTGGATAAACCGCTTGGTTTACGATATGTGGCGTATATAAGATCGGCAGTGGTTTGTCAGTATCGAAAACGATCAAACGTTAGGTAGCACTGGTCATTATAACTGGAGATCATTCGAAGTGGAAAAGGGAAACACAAGAGAGGAGGCATTAGGATTTTATACAGTTTGTTATACTACAACCGTGTCCAAGCTACTCAAATGATGGGTGTTATCTTGGATAAGCTCGCTGGCTTTACAGGCCTCTTCCCCGAGTTTCCCATAGACCCTGCCAAAATTCTGCCGGTATGTTATTAATATATGTGTATAAATTGCAGTTTTTGTTTTGACAAATTTATTGACGTGTTATGAAGTTTTTACATGATAATTTAAACAAAGTATTATGTATCCCTTTCTTCGTTCATTTGTTGATGTTTGTTTTAAAAAAAATATATCTGTGCATGATGTTATGTCATGTTATTACAAATATACCTATTTCCATATTAAGCGTGATTCGATCTGAAAAATGTTGTGAAAACGGACATTGTCCTGTTTGTCTGGAGGAACTGAAGAACGTCATCCACAGCGACGAGATGAGATCCGTTCCTGTCGTCGTCCTGGCTGACAATCAAGACTGGCCAGGTAGGGACATGGGTGATTCAGGCAATTTCTGATGTCATCAATTTGCATAATATTTCACAATATTTCAGTCAGTTTATTTCTGATTTCAATGAAAAACCCCACTTTGTTTTAGACCAGTTCAGTAGAATTTACTTTTCCCAAACTTTGCTGTCATAATAACAGTAGAACTTATCCTTCAACATCCCAACTCTGGTTTCGGTAGATTTATGAGTATTAAGCAAACGTAAAGACATTTCATTGACATACTGACATACAACAACCTCTAGATCCCCTCTTCATCTAAATTTTCTGCCCTGAAGCTGCCACCAAGTTATCGGAAGTAGTGGACGCCCTTCACCTTCAGAAGATGACGGACCGGAAGTGGTACATTCAGGGGACATGTGCTACGACCGGGGAGGGTCTGTTTGAGGGTCTGGAGGAATTGTCCAGATTGGTGAAAGATTTCAAACAGAGCAGGAGGCGGTGAACCTTTCAAGATGGAAATCACCACAAACTTGTATCTGTGATAATGTCCAGAAGTTCAAAGGTGTCCAACTCCATGACAGCTCGGGAGCATTTGTGTACAGATGTATCGATGGTGTTACTCCACGTCGAGCCCCTTGTAAAGATTTCAAATAACAGTCGTTGTTAGACTGTTCAGAATGGTGTCAAGACAGCTGATGCATGGCAGTTGCTAGCCTTGTAGCCTTGTGGAAGAACAGCATCCTGAAATCAGAAAGAAGAGCCATCTGTGTTGATCCAGAGCCACCAGGACAAAGACTGCAACCATTATTTAACTCATCCTGTGATCCTGTACGACAGGCGATCTGCGAGGGTTAGATTGAAAACACCGTTTCAATGTAGCTTTTTTCATATATCTCTCGAGCTGTTAGCATTTAAGCTTTTTCAATGTTTTAAAACAAAGATAATTATGGGGCACACGTAAAAACGTAGATTCCAGCATGACCTAAAACGTAATTGTTCATATGTATTGGCACGGTCTCTTGTAATATGTCATCACATTATATATTCCCTGAAATTGGCTGCAATTATGTGTTATGATTACATATAAACAGTACATTGTACTTTAACCACCCAACATCAAATCTGGAGAAAAACTTATTTTAAAGAGGTGTAGTTTTAACTATGATTTCCTAAAATACTTACCCTCTAGTGTAAGTGTACTTGGATTCGGGTCGTTCTTGCAATGAAACGTTTGACAAATTGTTTTATTGTCGTGTAATCAACTAATGCCTGGCTGAAATCAAGGGTAAGGACAATTTGTATTTACACTGGACTTGTCAGTGAGTCAGGGTATGCGTCAGTTACCATGATGTAGTGTATATCAAATACTGCCTGGCTGAAATCAAGGGTAAGGATATATTGTATTAACATTGGACATATCAGTGGGTCAGGGTATGCGTCAGTTACTGAAACCAACAAGTATCAAGGAGATCCCTCTGTATCACACTCACGGCTAGTGGTAGTGTAGTCTTACGACTAGTGGTAGTGTAGCCTTACGACTAGTGGTAGTGTAGCCTCACGACTAGTGGTAGTGTAGCCTCATGACTAGTGGTAGTGTAGCCTCAAGACTAGTGGTAGTGTAGCCTCACGACTAGTGGTAGTGTAGCCCTCACGACTAGTGGTAGTGTAGCCTCAAGACTAGTGGTAGTGTAGCCTCACGACTAGTGGTAGTGTAGCCTCACGACTAGTGGTAGTATAGCCTGACGACTAGTGGTAGTATAGCCTGACGACTAGTGGTAGTGTAGCCTCATGACTAGTGGTAGTGTAGACTCACGACTAGTGGTAGTATAGCCTGACGACTAGTGGTAGTATAGCCTGACGACTAGTGGTAGTGTAGCCTCACGACTAGTGGTAGTGTAGACTCACGACTAGTGGTAGTGTAGCCTAACGACTAGTGGTAGTGTAGTCTCACCATATATATGTATTTACTACATGTGTGCTTAATTATCGAGGAATTGTATCTACTTGTTCGAAACTTAAGTAAATATTGCAACAGTTTAATTCATGCGTATTCATGCGTATTTCTGCATTGTGCTGTTTACGTATTGATGAGATCCACGAATGAGTGAGTGAGTGAGTTGAGTTTTACGCCGCACCCAGCAATATTCCAGGTATATGGCGGCGTTCTGCAAAATAATCGGATCTGGACCAGACAATCCGGGGATCAAAAGCGTGAACATCGATCTACCGAATTGGGATGACATGTGTCAACAGGTTACTGAAGATCAATTCTAACCCTGATCTTCACGGTGTTATCCACGAGCTGCCATGAGGTCACGGAAAGAGGTCACAGAGGACATACAATGAAAGTAAAACGCCAAGAAGACAGAATGACCACTATCAGGCCGTGAGGACCGTTGTACGATGTATGTTCTTTGTTTCTGATACCTTTGTGTGATACACTAACAATAAATAGATAAACAGTGACATGGAAGACACATATGTAGAGCAGGTAGACCACAGATGTAGAGCAGGTAGACTACAGATGTAGAACAGGTAGACTACAGATGTAGAGCAGGTAGACAACAGATGTGGAACAGGTAGACCACAGATGTAAAGTAGGTAGACTACAGACGTAAAGCAGGTAGACTACAGATGTAGAGCAGGTAGACTACAGATGTAGAGCAGGTAGACTACAGACGTAGAATAGGTAGACCACAGATCTAGAGCAGGTAGATTACAGATGTAGAGCAGGTATACTACAGATGTAGAGCAGGTAGACTACAGATGTAGAGCAGGTAGACTACAGATGTAGAGCAGGTTGACTACAGATGTAGAGCAGGTAGACTACAGACGTAGAGCAGGTTGACAACAGATGTAGAGCAGGTAGACTACAGATGTAGACTACAGATGTAGAGCAGGTAGACTACAGACGTAGAGCAGGTAGACTACAGATGTAGAACAGGTAGACTACACATGTAGAGCAGGTATGCTACAGACGTAGAGCAGGTAGACTACAGATGTAGAGCAGGCAGCCTACAGATGTAGAGCAGGTATACAACATGTGTAGAGCAGGTAGACTACAGATGTAGAACAGGTAAACCACAGATCTAGTGCAGGTAGACTACAGATGTAAAGCAGGTATACAACATGTGTAGAGCAGGTAGACAACATGTGTAGAGCAGGTAGACTACAGATGTAGAGCAGGTTGACTACAGATGTAGAACAGGTAAACCACAGATCTAGTGCAGGTAGAGTACAGATGTAGGGCAGGTAGACTACAGACGTACAGGAGGTAGACAACAGATGTAGAGCAGGTAGACTACAGATGTAGAGCAAGTAGACTACAGATGTTGAACAGGTAGACTACAGATGTAGAGCAGGTAGACTACAGATGTAGAGCAGGTACAGATATATCTGGGATATCCGCACATGAGAGATTTTGTGAACCCCACCACGCACGGTCATCTGTGTTCGTTACACTTTTCAAAGAAGTGCTATGAAAGAGACCGAACCTCTGACCAAATATGGATACGAATAGGCAAAGCTTGAACTTCATAAGGATGCTATATATCGGGCATGCCTTTCGATTTTCCAAACAAACAAAGAGGCCGAAATGTCAAGTTGGGACTGAGACCGAGAGAGTTCCATTCCGGACGCGACGTTGGTTGCAGGTGAGTTTTAAGATGTAGTTGTTTTGGAGCAACATAAACACTCCAGTGCTAGCTAGCTGTATAAAGAAATAGTTGATGGAAAAGTACGTCATAATTTGCGCTCATGTCCTATTTTCGATCAGAGATATATTTTCACAGCCACTGTTACTGTAACCCAGTAGGGCCAAGTCATCTATTTCCCGAGACGGAATGTTGGGTGTTTTGTGGTATGAGTGTGTGTGTGGAGGGATAGGGATGGGGGTGGGCATGGACAAATGAGAACTTGCAACATATGAGTGCGATGGTGAGAGAGATCACATAATTATTAAAACATAATAAAAAAATGAGTCATATCAGATAATTATCCACCAGGGACTGGTCCCCTACCATGTTAAAATGGTATATGAATTGTGTGTGTGTGCGTGTGTGTGAGTGCGCGTGGGTTTGGGCATGATTGAAATGTTGACTCTCACTCTTTCTCTCTTTAAGGAAAATGACTGCTCTGCACTGGCATAAAATTTCGGTATCTATAGACCCCTTGTAAAAACATCATGGCAGCTGTATATATAAGTAACTTTTAACCTACTTTCTAAATGGGAAATCAGGGAAATATGTTCATTCAGATAATGTATTTCTTTGTGAAGTTTTTTTTTGGCAAATGTAAAAATGCTACTTTAATGCTATTTTTAGGCTGTATATGGCAGCATTTCACATCAATGAAAACAACCTAAAGTGACCAAAACTGGAGAACCCACCTGGGCAATCAGCTACCCCTAAGCCTAAACCAAGGGGCCAAGCCAGTGAACAAGAAAACCAACACATGGTAAATATAATTCAGACAATCAATAATCTTTTGTTGAACTGGTGCACTCCAGTTTGAAAAAAACCACACTGTTCCCATTACATGTTTTTCCGTAACTAATCAGTCAACACAAAGTCTTGTTTGCAAAGACACTGGTTTTTAATCATCATGTCTATTTTCCCTCTCGGCATTTGTTAAGACAAAAGTACTTACTTTTTTAGTGCAGATTTCAAAGAAAATTATTATTATGGTTGCCAAAACAAAATATACTGATATTGTGTTACAAAATGTCTCTAATTCAATGTAAAATTTATTCTCAGAGTATGTGGAATTCTTACTCAGGGCCATTCTCGAGAGAAGAAACATATTTCCTTCCTACAGCCTTGCAGGTCACAACAGCCTATTTTTCCTGGATATTCTGCCAGACACTTTCATTTATAACTAGTAAACAGGAACTGGTGAATTCACTGACATTAAGATATAAAATGAAATCATGTTATGTGTCTAGGGTGTGAACTGAAACCAGTTGTGTCTGATCTCTTAAGGTCTATTGTATTCGTCTGTTTGAATCCTGGGACTTGTTCAGATGGTAAATGTTTCCAAATTGCAGTCACCACTGTGTTACGTGGTGTTATTGGAGATCAATCTTGTTTTCTTAGGTTTTTACAAGTCCATCCAGTTAATTATAATTAACACGCAAGTCTTGGCCATCATGATGTTTGTGTACACCCTGAATTCATTAGTTTCTCATGAAACAGTTTGTATGCAAATAAATTATTTGCTTTACTCTTTGTGTGCTGGTTTCTTGATATGATCGATCGTCTTTCTTTGGGACCGATCACACTTTACGCATTACTACTAGAACACAATGAAGAATTTTCTTTTTCACTAGCTGACAGTTAAACAGATAGATAAAGATTTGTCAGCTCTATTTTTTTCATCTGTGTATATTTATTATATCTATTATCAGCTGTTCAGGAGATTACAGGTCTTTATCATGTTATTTATATTTGCAGATTTATATGACTAAGTATCACGACGAATAACCGATGCTTTACACGTGAATGG